TAATACTTCTAGTTCATAGGGGTACATGTGCACAATGTGCAGGTTTGTTACATATGTATACATGTGCCATCTTGGTGTGCTGCAACCATTAACTCGTCATTTACATTAGGTATATCTCCTAATGCAATGGTTGTAGATGTGTGGTATTATTTCTGAGGGCTCTGCACTGTTCCATTGGTCTATATCTCTGTTTTGGTACCAGTACCATGCTGTTTTGGTTACTGTAGCCCTCTAGTGTAGTTTGAAGTCAGTAGTGTGCTGCCTCCAGCTTTGTTCTTTTGGCTTAGGATTGTCTTGGCAATGCGGACTCTTTTTTGGTTCCATATGAAGTTTAAAGTAGTTTTTTCCAATTCTGTGAAGGAAAGTCTTTGGTAGCTTGATGGGAATGGCATTGAATCTATAAATTACCTTGGGCAGTATGGCCATTTTCACAATATTGATTCTTCCTATCCATGAGCATGGAATGATCCTCCATTTGTTTGTGTCCTCTTTAATTCATTGAGCAGTGGTTTGTAGTTCTCCTTGAAGAGGTTGTTCACATCCCTTGTAAGTTGGATTCCTAGGTATTTTATTCTCTTGGAAGCAATTGTGAATGGGAGTTCACTCATGATTTGTCTCTCTGTTTGTCTGTTATTGGTGTATAGGAATGCTTGTGATTTTTGCACATTCATTTTGTATCCTGAGACTTTGCTGAAGTTGCTTATCAGCTTAAGGAGATTTTGGGCTGAGACGATGGGGTTTTCTAAATATACAATCATGTCATCTGCAAACAGGGACAATTTGACTTCCTCTTTTCCTAATTGAATACCCTTTATTTCTTTCTCTTGCTTGATTGCCGTGGCCAGAACTTCCAAAACTATGTTGAATAAGAGTGGTGAGAGAGGGCATCCCTGTCTTGTGCCAGTTTTCAAGGGGAATGCTTCCAGTTCCTTTATTTCTTTTAAAGAATGAGTTAAAAGACATAGTTTGTAATTCTTAAGTACTTTATATTGTGTCTGAGTATTTTCAAAGAAACTCACTTATCTTGATGGTTGTGTTCCTTAACTTGACAAAGAGCATCTTCATAATATAAATTCCATTTATTATTTCTGGTGTGTCTTTTCTTTATATTTTAAATTTCAGCTACAGTAAGTTACTTATAATTCTTCAGTGACTCCATGCTATTTAATGAGTATATTCCTTAAAGGTTTTTTCACCCACTCTGTATTTGGCAAACTCCCCATCTTTTTTCAAGATCCAGTTTAGATCTATGGTATTCTCTCCTACAAAGTCTAAAACAGAGCAGATGGCTCCTTTATTTGTTAGCTTTATGTCTAATATATATTTCTATTTTTGGATTCATCACTATTAAAATATGTATATCTTGTAGTGAACTGTGTTCGTGGAGGAGAAGGCTGTTAGTGATAAATTGAATAGCTTTGAAAAGAAGTAGCTTTTTCCTAGGTACATAAAGTAGGGAAATACATTTTAAGTAGAGAGAAAAGTTTCTACAGAGGCACAGAAGTATGAAAATTATGGCATGCCCAAGCATCTTTAGACTGGAGCATCAAATTTGGTTGATAAGATAATAGATATTAAAGCTTTTAAGGTAACAGCATACTATTTTAAAGTGTACTAAAGAAATAGTGTTTATCACCTCTCCTTAATTTTAATAGCTGGATGAAATTAGGGAATCTGTAAAAGCTGTTTGTGCTGCAGTTTGCTCAGAAGAAAAATGGGAGTGGTAATAGGGCCTACCTCACAGGAATTACACAGTGAGCTATAAGTACATGTTAGCTAATATGATGATGATTATTATTTTTAGTATTATCTATCTTCACTGACAGACTAAACTCTGTGGCAGCCTTTTTAACCCACCCATCATCAGATGCCTAAAATAGTCAGACAACGTTATAGGTTGTTATGTCATAGGTCGTTACACTGATACTTTTGGATTAATTACTGCATGCATGATTATTACAGAAATCATAAGAAAGTATGTAAGGGATCATTGCATAAATTTTAAGGAAACATTAAGTTAGCTAAAGAAAAAACATCACATGAAAATATTTGAAATTTATTAATATATTTATAATCATGGCATAAATTTCTTGGAAAAAAGACTTAGAAGCAAGGAAACAATTTAGGAAGCTATTGTAGAGGTCTGCATGACAGATGATGACAAATCACTTTACGGCAATAGCAATAAATATGCAGAAGAAGAAATATGCTGGAGGACCAAGAGATATGGTGGTTTTCTACATGTGTAATGTTTCATGAGGGTCAGCACTTTAGGCTCTGGAATATACTGTCTGGCTTCAAATTCTGTCTTCTTACTAATTCTGTAGTAATTTGTTGTGTTACCTTAGCAAATTACCACATCTCACCTCTCTATGTTTCAGATTCCTTGTCTGTAAAATCAGAATTATATTAACAATTGTCTCCTAAGGCAATCTTAAGGATTAAATGAAATAATGTTTGTTAAATGCTTATTGGAATGCCATATATATAATATAATAGATGCTCACGTAATATTCACTGCTATCATTATTACCATTATTTGTGGTGAGATAAAGTGGTGGTTCAATTTTAGGTGATTCTAATTTGGTCTGCATATCATTAATTAAATAAAGCATATAGTGGGCTTGTCATACAATAATTCATTCAACTTTGAATATTTTAAGTTCCACATGTCTAAGCAGATATGTTTGTGGATCTAAAATTAAAGAAAAAAGTATGGATGAAAATATATTTATTGGCAGTTGAGACATGTCCATTGAGCAGATGAGAAGGTTATGGACAGAACCTTGACTCAAGGAATACATGAAATGTTTTGATAAAGCAGTGTCAGAAAGAATGGAGGAGAAAATGGTGCAAAGAAGGGTCACGTATACCAAATGTAACAGACATCAAAAGGAAGAAGTCTGATGTTCATTTTGAAAATGAGAAGTATATTGAAAAGCTTTACATAGAACAATTCAAAAAGGTTGAGCAGACCCCAGATTGCAGTGCATGCAGGAATGAGTGCAAGACTAAGAGATAGCGATAGTAGATACACATTGTTTGTGGTCTCTGATGTTATTATGAATAAAGTAAGGAAAATGTTGGAAGAACAGAGTTATCATTGCTTCTGGGGATGGTTGGCTGCGCAAGGTGAAGTCCCAGAATTCTCTCAGATGGATGAGTTCAGCTAGGAATAGGGAGGACTAGAATTATCCATACCCAACTTAAGGCAGAAAAGCCAAGACAAACAAGTGTAGGAAATCACCGAGCACCCTGGTCTCCATTTCCCACTCCACACCACCTTCCTCACCCTCATCATGAATGGAAATCTGGGAATCATATTATCTCTCACTGAAATAATATTTATTTTTCAGCCCACAGGGAACCCAGACTGGTTGGAGGAGACATTCCCTGTTCTGGACGCGTTGAAGTGAAGCATGGTGACACATGGGGCTCCGTCTGTGATTCGGACTTCTCTCTGGAAGCTGCCAGCGTTCTATGTAGGGAATTACAGTGTGGCACAGTCGTCTCTATCCTGGGGGGAGCTCACTTTGGAGAGGGAAATGGACAGATCTGGGCTGAAGAATTCCAGTGTGAGGGACATGAGTCCCATCTTTCACTCTGCTCAGTAGCACCCCGCCCAGAAGGAACTTGTAGCCACAGCAGGGATGTTGGAGTAGTCTGCTCAAGTAAGACCCAGAAAACATCTTTAGTTGGTTCTCATACTGTGAAAGGGACGGGATTAGGGAATCATAGCTGTCTTTTTCTAAAGCCCTGTCTCCTTCCAGGATACACAGAAATTCGCTTGGTGAATGGCAAGACCCCATGTGAGGGCAGAGTGGAGCTCAAAACGCTTGGTGCCTGGGGATCCCTCTGCAACTCTCACTGGGACATAGAAGATGCCCACGTTCTTTGCCAGCAGCTTAAATGTGGAGTTGCCCTTTCTACCCCAGGAGGAGCACATTTTGGAAAAGGAAATGGTCAGGTCTGGAGGCATATGTTTCACTGCACTGGGACTGAGCAGCACATGGGAGATTGTCCTGTAACTGCTCTGGGTGCTTCACTATGTCCTTTAGGGCAAGTGGCCTCTGTAATTTGCTCAGGTAAGAGGATGAGGGGCAGCCAGTGATGAGTCTTAAGAGAAGGTGTACATAGGGTTGAAGAACAAAAGTGAAATGCAGTGATCCATTTTGAAGGGTCATGAAAAGAATGAATACTAATTCATGCTTCAGAGTATTAACCTCATTTGTCTTTCAGAGGGTGAGCAAACCTAATTTTGATGGACTTTATAGTTATCCAGTGCTTACTATGTGCCAAGCCCATCTCAAAGCACCTGATTTATTCCAAACTTGTTGACCATCCACCTTCCCCTCTCTCTCTAAGCTATGTTTGTCCTCAACTCATCCATATAACATTTCGTCTGACTCCCCTAACCTTTTGTATCTTGTATGACTGAGTACTTTGGTGTTTGCAGGAAACCAGTCGCAAACACTGTCCTCATGCAATTCATCATCTCTGGGCCCAACAAGGCCTACCATTCCAGAAGAAAGTGCTGTGGCCTGCATAGGTGAGACTCTGTGACAAATCTATGAAAATATTAATAACAAGCAGAATGCTTGTTATTAATATTTTCATTTCTCTTTGCAGAGAGTGGTCAACTTCGCTTGGTAAATGGAGGAGGTCGCTGTGCTGGGAGAGTAGAGATTTATCATGAGGGCTCCTGGGGCACCATCTGTGATGACAGCTGGGACCTGAGCGATGCCCATGTGGTGTGCAGACAGCTGGGCTGTGGAGAGGCCATTAATGCCACTGGTTCTGCTCATTTTGGAGAAGGAACAGGGCCCATCTGGCTGGATGAGATGAAATGCAATGGAAAAGAATCCCGCATTTGGCAGTGCCATTCACATGGCTGGGGGCAGCAAAACTGCAGGCACAAGGAGGATGCAGGAGTTATCTGCTCAGGTAAATTATGCATATTACCTCTGGTCACAATTACATAGAGAAAGGACTGAGAGAGGGTAGTGAGGGGTATTAATCTTAAAGATTTTCCTGAAAAGTAGGTCCAAAAGGAACTATTGTGGGAGTCAGGACAACAGAAGTCTGGGTTTGATGTGCTGGTGGTACTTCATGAGCAAGGTAGTGTAACATTGTAAAGAGAAAAGACCAGAAATGGTCTTGTATATCATCAAAATGACAACAAAGTTCATAATGAAGGTTTTTAATAAATATATTTTGGGCTGGATATTAGATAGTGATCCAATGGCAACCCTTGATAATTACAGTGTTAATAAACAAGTAGATTTAAAGGGATAAGAAGAAATACGTATGTTGCATCATTCTACAGAAAAAAAGATAATTATCATGCCCAAGCAATTTTTCATGGCAGATAAATGAGACTTACTTGTCATAGAAACAAAAATTAGCGTGAGGTTACTGCCCTTGCTTTGTATACACGGTGAGTTTTAGAAAACATTCTGAAATTTTAAAATGTACTATTTCATAATATATTGGAGGAAACAGAACTATGATTCAGTAACAAGGAAGTGAAAAACTCTGTATCCCAGAAGTGATTTATTCCTATTTTAATGACATAAATCTGGTAGAAGACATGCATAGCAAAGCTGTGAAGTGTCAGCAAATGAACTATGTCATTTTGAGAGATGTACACAGAACATTGATTTTAGTGCCTGAGTGTCTAACAATTTTAACTATCAAAGACAGCTGCAAAAAAAAAAAAAAAAGAATATTTTTGGGAAAAAATCCAAACTATGTAATTGAAAAAGGCTCTGAGCCTTTGAGTTCTGGAAAGTCTGTTAGAATCATTGAGGGCAATCTGAAGAGGTCTCTGAGTCCAAAACCTAAGACTAAAGCACCTATAATGCATTTATAGAATAAATAAAATATTTTAATAATATCTATGAAATCATCTAGAAGCTACTAACGAATTATTAATAACTGACATATTGTACTATTGTACCTATTTTTAAAGCCATTCTTACATCAAGGTAAAGGGAAGGAGTCTCTGAATCTTCAGAAAAGATGCAAAACTACTAATTCTATGTTTCACTACAGAGTTCATGTCTCTCAGATTGACCAGTGAAGCCAGCAGAGAGGCCTGTGCAGGACGTCTAGAAGTTTTTTACAACGGAGCTTGGGGCAGCGTTGGCAGGAGTAGCATGTCTGAAACCACTGTGGGTGTGGTGTGCAGGCAGCTGGGCTGTGCAGACAAAGGGAAAATCAACCCTTCATCTTTAGACAAGGCCATGTCCATTCCCATGTGGGTGGACAATGTTCAGTGTCCAAAAGGACCTGACACGCTGTGGCAGTGCCCATCATCTCCATGGGAGAAGAGACTGGCCAGGCCCTTGGAGGAGACCTGGATCACATGTGACAGTGAGTATCCATTGACCCATATGAAAATTCCATTCCGCAGTCCCACTATCATCTTCTGATGAGGGACATTGGATTTTATTTTCCTATTCTCACACTGGCTTAAGTTGTTAGATCGAATTAAGCAAGAATGGGTAACTTGTGGGTAATATCTGTTCTACCTGGATGGTGTAATTGGTTTTATTTAATTTGGCCTGTAGATATTCGGGATCAGCTTTTATTATTCTAAAGAGTATCATACTCCCCATGGTTGGCTTGAAAGATTTATTCAGTTGCTTTCTCTGAGGAGAAGAGAATATGTGATTTAATATTTGACTGTTGAGTGGTTTACCTTACCTTCCCATTTTTGTTTCAAATATTATCTTGTTACACTAATATAAGGAGAAAAGCAGTCAGAAATCAGAAAGATCAATTCTGAGGTATTTCCACATTCTACAGGTTTTTTTTTTTTTTTTTTGAGACTGAGTTTTGCTCTTGTTCCCCAGGCTGGAGTGCAATGGTGTGATCTTGGCTCACCACAACCTCTGCCTTCCAGGTTCAAGTGATTCTCCTGCCTCAGCCTCCCGAGTAGCTGGCAGGACAGGCCCACGCCACCACGCCTGGCCAATTTTTGTATTTTTAGTTGAGCCGGGGTTTCCCCATGTTGGTCAGACTGGTCTCAAACTTTTGACCTCAGGTGATCTGCCTGCCTTGGCCTCCCAAAGTGCTGGGATTACAGGCGTGAGCCACTGTGCCTGGCCTCTACATCTTCTTAAACTGTGAGATTTCTGTCAACCTGCCAATCTCCTAAGATCTTGCCTATTTGAAAGAACTTGACATCACATATTTATAATGTTAACTTTAATCATTTAATATTTACTGGGTCACATTATGTATATTATGTGCAGGATGAAATATACCTAGTTGGCTGTAATGACAAGTCCTCTTATAAAAGATAAATTTTGTAAAAATTAAATTTTAAAATGCACATTCAGTAAAATTTTAAATAGTTTTTTTTTTTTAAGTTTCAGATCTTTTTTTTCACCTATGAACTCTTGGAAACTTTTAGAAGTCTTAAAAATAGGCTATATGTCTCTGATTTTTCAGACAAGATAAGACTACAAGAAGGACCCACTTCCTGTTCTGGACGTGTGGAGATCTGGCATGGAGGTTCCTGGGGGACAGTGTGTGATGACTCCTGGGACTTGAACGATGCTCAGGTGGTGTGTCAACAACTTGGCTGTGGTCCAGCTTTGAAAGCATTCAAAGAAGCAGAGTTTGGTCAGGGGACTGGACCCATATGGCTCAATGAAGTGAAGTGCAAAGGGAATGAGTCTTCCTTGTGGGATTGTCCTGCCAGACGCTGGGGCCACAGTGAGTGTGGACATAAGGAAGACGCTGCAGTGAATTGCACAGGTAAGTGCCAGAAGCCTGGATTGAGCTTGGAATCTCTGGCAGCAAAGAGGGGTTGGGCAGTGACATACGTTGTGTAAAAACCGGACTTATCAACACAGGGATCTGGTGGGGATTGTCATTAGAGAATCATAATGTCTCTACTGAAAGAATGATGAAAACAGTTGTTATACGTTGGCCTTCACCAAGAAGACACATACAACCTATATCCCCTGTGCAGAGGAAGAAAGACTAGACGACTCTAGTTTTAGGTGGGAAAGAGTCATTTACTTGGTTGAGAGGTACTAAGGGATCAGACAAGGAAATCAAAATGTTTGTTCTATATATCACGCAAAGAATTAAGCCTCTCTCTCTCTCTTTTCTCTTACAGATATTTCAGCGCACAAAACCCCACAAAAAGCCACAACAGGTATATCATGGAGTTTGTGATGATAAGACCAATTATCTGCATACATAGAATTTTTCTTGTTTAGAAATTTTAGGTAGAAGTTCTGAGGATTTGATGTTTACCTCAGGGATCCTGTATTTGACCTAAGAGAGAGTCAGTAACTAGCGACCTTGGTCTTTTTGATAAGACATGATCATATCTCTTGATATTTACTTTTACTTAGGTCACACATCCCGTCAGTCATCCCTTATTGCAGTAGGAATCCTTGGAGTTGTTCTCTTGGCCATTTTCATCGCATTATTCTTGACTCAAAAGCGAAGACAGAGACAGCGGCTTACAGGTTTGAGCCAAATTAGGATTTATCTAGTATGTCTGCAGAATAAGGGGGTTCTTGGGAAGAAAAAAAATTAGACTCAAGTCTAATGGCCAGAAAGACGGAATCTAAAAGAGATTTGAGCAGTTTCTCAAAATAGAGGGAAGGGCCAGGACGGTGGCTCACACCTGTAATCCCTGCACTTTGGGAGGCTGAGGCAGGAGGATCACTTGAGTCCAGGACTTCAAGACCAGCCTGGGCAACAGAGGGAGCTCCAATTTCTACATATTTTTTCTTTTTTTAAATAGAGAGAATAAGATTTCAGAGGAGAAAAGGGACTTTAGGTTGCATTGATGATTCCTGTGTTCTATCTACATGCTTAATTGGAACATTATAGAATTGAAAGTTCAGAATGAATATGTTAGGCGTTATTTAGGATGACTTTTTTACTTAAACATTTATTTTCTCTTACTATAATCAATCTCCTTATTACAAATTTTACTGTTCTGTTGGGCAATGTATTAGGCTGTGAAGATACAGACATGGACAATAAATCTTGGTGGAACTTCAAGTCCAGTGGAAGAGATATATATGTAAACAAATATACTACAATGTAGCCATTGTACATTAATAGAAAAAAGGAACAAAAGTGGCATAGAGAAGGGTGTAATTAACTGAAAGGGGAGGGGGATTACTGGAGGCTTCAAAGAGGCTTGGGGGACATATTTCAAACATAGAGGCTTAGAGAATTGGGTGAGGAACATTCTAGAGAAGAGTATATACAAGTGTAGAGAAGCCTAAAGGATGAAGCATTTCTTGTTTTTTTTCTGAGGGGGAGGGGGAGAAAAAGTTGAGTGCAAGGAGGGAGGCTGCTAAGTCTGAAGAAGAGAAAAGGCACAAATTATGAAGTTCTTGTGTTTCACATGAGATTCATAGTCATTAGAGTATTACGTAGGGGAGTGAAATGGTCAAGATATCTTTTAGGAAGATCTTTTGGCAACAGGATCTATGAAGATTAAAGGAGGACCACATGACTGACAGGAATGGCATTTTGTAACAGTTGAGGTGAAAAATGAAAAGTACTACAACTATAGTGAGAATGGAGGGGAGAAGAAAGACTTTTAAAGATACTTAAGAAAAGCTCCAGTGAGTTATGGAAGACTGCTTACCCAAATTATGGTCCTTGGGTAAAAATAGTGGGTTTTTACATTAATACAATGGCAGTGGGGAAGATTTAGCCTCATGCCTATTTCCTTTGAGTGTGGGGCGTTATAAAGGAAGAGCTTGGAAGTAGAATGGGATAGAAACAATAGCATGGATAAGGACGAGGTATGTTTGCAGCGCTGGGAAAAAGCACACATACAGGAAGGGAAATTTTATTATGATAGCTGATCCCTAACCTAGGATCTGTGTTTTCAGTTTCCTCAAGAGGAGAGAACTTAGTCCACCAAATTCAATACAGGGAGATGAATTCTTGCCTGAATGCAGATGATCTGGACCTAATGAATTCCTCAGGTCTGTGGGGTTCTTGGAGGGTCTATTGCCCAGGGGTTCAGATCAGGGGCTGCAATTGAGGCATAGACATTTTACTTTGATAAACAGCTAAAAAATTCTGAAAATGTAATAGGAAGCTTAGATGCATATAATGGACAAGAATGACTGAAAATTATTCCTGGAGAATATCAAAATTGCAATCATAGGGAGGCCTTTAGCTTAAGAGGTCTGTGATTATTCCTGATAGACGTAGGAAAAGAACCATGCAGCGGAATATTATGACTTGGACCTCATTTTATTAAAACAGAAATTAATCTTATGAAAGACTGTCATAAGTGACAGTTTAACTTTTTTCTTTAAATAAATTTTGTTGGGTATATTTAAGGCATACAACATGATTTTATGGGATGTATATAGATAGTAAAAAGCTTACTAAAGCAAAGCAAATTAACACATCCATCATCTGACATAGTAACCCTTTTTTGTGTTGTTCTTGTGGCAAGAGCAGCTAAAACCTACTCACTTAACATGAATCCTATATACGGTACAATTTTATTGCCTGTAATCCTACTGTTGTAAATTAGACCTCTAGACTCGTTCATCCTACATAGCTGCTACTTTGTATCTTCTGACCTATGTATGTCTTTCTCAGTTTCTTCCATTCCCATTTCCTGTCACTTTTTTCTCTAGCTTGATATTTATTATATTTTTCCCTAAAAGTTGAAAACCTTAAACTTTCCATATCTTTATTGCATGAGAAGCCATCAAAATCCACAGGACTAGCCTTATTTCTCATCACATCATGCTGTTGTGTCCTTGAACTTCTGTTTAGCACCAGTGACACTAATTGTGCCTCTGGGGCAGGATAACTTTACTGGGTTGGAAGAAATATCCCAAAAACCATTGTCTTTATCCATGAAGGGTCCCTGACCTTCTGAGAGGGGCCTGCCTCACTTCTTCAATCCAAACAATTATGCATCTGCCACTGTGTCAGGGAATATATTTAAGGTATAAGAAACATGTACTGTGTCAGGAAACATATTTAAGGAATAGGAAAGACTTTCTCTGCCCCGTGACTCACCCATGCTTGCCTTCCTAGTTATGGGTAGTGTTTTCAGTTGCTCAAAGAGCCTCACAGTTACGTGAGGAGAGGTCTGGTTTATTTCCCAGTAATTATTTTCTTCCTTTCAGAAAATTCCAATGAGTCAGCTGATTTCAATGCTGCTGAACTAATTTCTGTGTCTAAATTTCTTCCTATTTCTGGAATGAAAAAGGAGGCCATTCTGAGGCACACTGAAAAGGAAAATGGGAATTTATAACCCAGTGAGGTGAGTGATGAGAATTTATTAGTCATTGTTCAAAACAGCTACATTCCTTTTGAGGATTGAGAGCTCTTCTGGCATTAGAAAGAAAGAATGTAATATACATATTTTATATGCTTATGTGCATATATTTGTATATGTATATATCTATATTGAGAATATATAAAAGCTTATAAATATGATTCATCTCTTAATTATACACATACATGTATAGTAAGAAATAATAACACATCCATGGAGCTAAGGAGAAACTGAGTAAACAAATATAAATTAATCTTTTGAAGACATTACAGGTATCATTTCAGGAAAAAGATAAGACATATTACACATCTGCATTGTATAATACATGCTATGGTAAAGACTGTACAAGACACTACAAGAATACAGAAAGTTTGCCTAAGAAACTTTGGGGTTGTTGTAAGGTGATGTGGTATTGAAGGTAAACTTTAAAAATGACTGAAAAATAGACAGTTCCAAAGAAAGTTCACAATATGTGCAAACTAGAGGCAGAAAAAAGAACTATGCCTTTACGGAACTATTAGAAGTTTTTTATTCAAAAACATATATTGAACATATTTATGGTAACAAGTAGTACCTCGAGCACTGAAGATACAGAGATAAAAGAGACTATTGGCAAAGACATGATTGTTTAATAAAAGATATCATAGTCTATAGGTGGTAATATGAAGAGGCCATATAGAAAGAAGCGAGGTGGTTAGAATCTAAACTGAAAAGGCTGCAGAGAGCCCTGTAATGAATGGTCTTACCTGCTATATTTTATGTTCATCTTTCATTTGGGGGTCTGTTGAAGAGGTGATGATGAGCTTTGAAAGTTTCAGATGAGACAAGATGATTAGAATTGCATTTTCACAACTTGCTTTCATGAGAAAAACATAAAAAAAATTTCAAATGTGAACAAGATGTATAGTTAAGCTACACATCAAGAGAAAAAGTTTGTGAAATGAATTACTAGATACATTTTCTGTTTCTAAAATAATTTGGGGAAGACTACATCTAGAAATGAAATGTAGAAAAAGTTTTTTTATAGAAATATTATATATTGTATATACGAAATATAGATTGAGACAAAGGATAAGAGTTGGAATTCTTAAAGCAAACGAAATGTAAATTGTGAATATCTATAAAATGCACAGCTGATTTTACATACTATATATACACACATAGATACATGGAGTTCTTATAAACTGTACAGAGCACAAAAGGGTTAATATATGTGAATGTAAATTGTGTGTATGTGTAACGTCCAATAGATAATTGGGCAAAGCTATGAAAAGACAATTCAGACAAAATGAATTTCAAATGACGGACATTTTTAAATGTCTGGAGGATTGAAATTATAATTAACAATGAGGTATCACTTCATACAAATCAGACTAACAAAAATTTGAAATACCATCAATATTTATTACTGGCTGTAATACAGAGAAAAAGGCCATTTCAAACACTGCTCTTGGAAGTGTGAGATATGGTAGGTAGCCTTTGGAGAAAGCAATCTGGCAACTTCTATTAAAAATTATTTTCAAAGATTCATAGAGCCTTTGACCCAGCAATTCTATCCCTGAGAATTTCTTCTATACCAATAAAGTCACTAGTGTGTAATGAGAAATACACAAAGATTCCTTTTTGCAAGGTTGTTGAAAGTGGCAACAAACTAGAAACAAAGTGAATGCCAGTTGACAGAGTAGTGGCTGGAAATATTATGGTTTAGGCAACTAAAAAAGAAAAAATCATCTATAAAATATAATAATATGATTCCATTTATGTATTGGCTATAATGAAATATAATGTTTACATCTATAAAATTATGCATTTGTATGTGCATAAAGAAGCTAAAAATTCTAGTGTTGTAAACTGAGAACCGTGAATAATATTTGATTTATAATCTGAAGCATATGAATGTTTTCTGATGTGATAAATAATAATTGAACTACTTTTCCCTTAATGAGTAATCACCACTGAATAACTGCTTCAGAATCACATGAGGGTGCTTTTAAAAAATGGCGATTTTTTTTTTTTTTAAATCTTTAAGTTCTGGGATACATGTGTTGAACATGCAGGTTTGTTACATAGGTATACACGGGTCATGGTGGTTTGTTGCACCTATCAACCCGCCATCTAGGTTTTAAGCCCTGCATGCATTAGGGGCTTAAATTTGTCTTAATGCTCTCCCTCCCTTTGCCCCCTACCCCCCGGCAGGCCCTGGTGTGTGATGTTCCCCTCCCTGTGTCCACGTGTTCTCATTGTTCAGCTCCAACTTATGAGTGAGAACATGCTGTTTTGGTTTTCTGTTCCTGTGTTAGTTTGCTGAGAATGATGGTTTCCAGCTTCATCCATATCCCTGCAAAGGACATGAACTCATTCTTTTTTTATGGCTGCATAGTATTCCATGGTGTATATGTACCACGTTTTCTTTATCCAGTCTATCATTGATGGGCATTTAAGTTGGTTCCATGTCTTTGCTGTTGCAAATAGTGCTGCAATAAACATACGTGTGCTTGTGTCTTTATAGTAGAATGATTTATAATCCTTTGGGTGTATACCCAGTAATGGGATTGCTGGGTCAAATGGTATTTCTGGTTCTAGATCCTTGAGGAATTGCTACATTGTCTTCCACAATAGTTGAACTAATTTACACTCCCACCAACACTGTAAAAGCATTTCTATTTCTCCACATCCTCTCCAGCATCTGTTGTTTCCTGACTTTTTAATGATCACCATTCTAACTGGCATGAGATGGTATCTCATTGTGGTTTTGGTTTGCATTTCTCTAATGACCAGTGATGATGAGCTTTTCATCATGTTTATTGGCCACATAAATGTCTTCTTTTGAGAAGTGTCTGTTCATATCCTTTGCCCACTTTTTGATGGGGTTGTTTGTGTTTTTCTTGTAGATTTGTTAAAGTTCCTTGTAGATTCTGGATATTAGCTCTTTGTCAGATGCATAGATTGCAAAAGTTTTCTCCCATTCTGTAGGTTGCCTTTTCACCCTAAATGATAGTTTATTTTGCTATGTAGGAGCTCTTTAGTTTAATTAGATCCCATTTGTCAATTCTTGGCTTTTGTTGCAATTGCTTTTGGTGTTTTAGTTATGAAGTCTTTGCCCATGCCTATGTACTGAATGTTACTGCCTAGGTTTTCTTCTAGGGTTTTTATGGTTTTAGGTCTTATGTTTAAGTCTTTAATCCATCTTGAGTTAATTTTTGTATAAAGTGTAAGGAAGTGGTCCAATTTCTGTTTTCTGCATATGGTTAGCCAATTTTCTCAGCACCATTTATTAAATAGGGAATCCTTTCCCCATTGCTTGTTTTTGGCAGGTTTATTGAAGATCAGATGGTTGTAGAGGTGTGGTGTTACTTCTGAGGCCTCTGTTCTTTTCCATTGGTCTATATATCTGTTTTGGTACCAGTACTATGCTGTTCTGATGACTGTAGCCTTGTAGTATAGTTTGAAGTCAGATAGCTTGATGCTTCCAACTTTGTTCTTTTTGCTTAGGATTGTCTTGACTATACAGGCTCTATTTTGGTTCCATATCAAATTTAAAGTAGTTTTTTCCAATTCTGTAAAGATAGTCGATGGTAGCTTGATGGGGATAGCATTGAATCTATAAACAACTTTGGGCAGTATGGCCATTTTCACAATATTGATTCTTCCTATCTATGAGCATGGAATGTTTTTCCATTTGTTTGTGTCCTCTTTTCTTTCCTTGAGCTCTGGTTTGTAGTTCTCCTTGAAGAGGTCCTTCACATCCCTTGTAAGTTGTATTCCTAGGTATTTTATTCTCTTTGTAGGAATTGTAAATGGGAGTTCACTAATGATTTGGCTCTCTGCTGGTCTATTATTGGTGTATAGGAATGCTTGTGATTTTTGCACATTGATTTTGTATCCTGAGACTTTGCTGAAGTTGCTTATCTGCTTAAGGAGTTTTTCGGCTGAGATGATGCGGTTTTCTAACTATACACTTGTGTCGTCTGCAACAAGAGATCATTTGAGTTCTTTTTCCTGTTTGAATATGCTTTATTTCTTTCTCTTGCCTGATTGCCCTGGCCAGAACTTCCAATACCCTGTTGAATAGGAGTGGTGAGAGAAGACATCCTTGTCTTGTGCTGGTTTTCAAGAGGAAAGCTTCTAGGTTTTGCCCATTCAGTATGATATTGGCTGTGGGTTTGTCATAAATAGCTTATTATTTTGAGATACGTTTCATCAATACCCAGTGTATTGAGAGTTTTTAGCATGAAGCATGTTGAATTTTATCGAAGGCCTTTTCTACATCTACTGAGATAATCATTGAGTTTTTGTGATTGGTTCTGTTTATATGATGGATTACATTTATTGATTTGCATACGTTGAACCAGCCTTACATCCAGGGATGAAGCCAACTTGATTGTGGTGGATAAGCTTTTTAATGTACTGCTGGATTTGGTTTGCCAGCATTTGATTGAGGATTTTTGCATCAATGTTCATCAGGGATATCGGCCTGGTATTTTCTTTTCTATGTTGTGTCTCTGCCAGGTTTTGGTATTAGGATGATGTTGGCCTCATAAAATGAGTTAGGGAGGAGTTTCTCTTTTTCTATTGTTTGGGATAGTTTCAGAAGGAACGGTATTAGTTCTTAGCTCATCTTTGTACCTCTGGTAGAATTCGGCTTTGAATTCATCTGGTCATGTTGTTGTTTTTTTTTTTTTTTTTTTGGGTTGGTAAGCTATTAATTACTGCCTCAATTTCATGACTTGTTATTGGTCTATTCAGATTTGACTTCTTCCTCATTTAGTCTTGGGAGGATGTATGTGTCCAGGAATGTATGCATTTCTTTTAGATTTTCTAGTTTATTTGTTTAGAGGTGTTTATAGCATTCTCTGATGGTAGTTTGCATTTCTGTGGGATCAGCGGTGATATCTCCTCTATCATTTTTTATTATATTTATTTGATTCCTCTCTCTTTTCTTCTTTATTAGTCTGGCTAGTGATCTGTCTATTCTGTTGATCTTTTCAAAAAACCAGTTCCTGGATTGATTGATTTTTGAAGGGTTTTTCATATCTCTATCCTTCAGTTTTGTTCTGATCTTAGTTATTTCTTGTCTTCTGCTAGCTTTTGAATTTGTTTGCTCTTACTTCTCTAGTTCTTTTAGTTGTGATGTTAGGGTGTTGATTCTAGATATTTCCCACTTTTGGATGTGGGCATTTAGTGCTATACATTTCCCTCTTAACACTGCTTTAGCTGTGTCCCAGAGATTTTTGTATGTTGTGTCTTTATTCTCATTGGTTTCAAAGAACTTCATTATTTCTGCTGTAATTTCGTTACTTATTCAGTAGTCATTCAGGAGCAGGTTGTTCAGTTTCCATGTAGTTGTAAGGTTTTGAGTGAGTTTCTTAATCTTGAGTTCTAATTTGATTGTACTGTGGTTTGTGAGACTGTTTGTTATGATTTACATTCTTTTGTACTTGCTGAGGAGTGTTTTATTTCCAATTATGAGGTCAATTTTAGAACAAGTGCTATGCGGTGCTGAGAAGAATGTATATTCTGTTGATTTGGAGTGGAGAGTTCTGTCAATGTCTATTAGGTCCATTTGGTCCAGAGCTGTGTTCAAGTTCTGAATATCCTTGTTAATTTTCTGTCTCATTGATCTGTCTAATATTAGACAATGGGGTGTTAAAGTCTCCCACTACTATTTTGTGGGAGTCTGTCTATTTATAGGTCTCTAAGAACTTGTTTTATGAACCTGGGTGCTCCTGTATTGGGTGCATATATATTTAATATAATTAGCTCTTCTTGTTGCATTGATTCCTTTACTATTATGTAATGCCCTTCTGTGTCTTTTTTTTATCTTTATTGGCTTAAAATCAGTTTTATCACAGACTAGAATTGCAACCCTTTTTTCTTTTTTTCCTTTTTTTTTGCTTTCCATTTGCTTGTTATGTTTTCCTCCATCCCTTTATTTTGAGCCTATGTGTGTCTTGCACATGAGATGGGTCTCCTGAATACAGCAAACCAATGGATCTTGACTCTTTATCCAATTTGTCAGTCTGTGTGTTTTAATTGGGGACATTTCACCCACTTACATTTAAGGTTAATATTGTTATGTGTGAATTTGATCCTGTCATCATGATGCTAACTGGTTATTTTGCACATTAATTGATGCGGTTTCTTCATAGTGTCATTGGTCTTTATATTTTGGTGTGTTTTTACAATGGCTGGTACTGGTTTTTCCTTTCCATATTTAGTGCTTCCTTCAGGAGCTCTTGTAAGGCAGGCCTGGTGGTGACAAAATCCCTCAGCATTTGCTTTTCTGTAAAGGATCTTATTTATCCTTCACTCATGAAGCTTAGCTTGGCTGAATATGAAATTCTGGGTAAAATTATTTCCTTTATGAATGTTAAATATTGGCCCCCACTCTCTTCTGGCTTGTATGGTGTCTGGAGAAAGATCCACTGCTAGTCTGATGGGCTGCCCGTTGTAGGTAACCTGACCTTTCTCTCTGGTGTCCTTAACATTTTTTCATTCATTTCAACCTTGGAGAAACTGAGATTATGTGTCTTGGGGTTGCTCCTCTCAAGGAGTATTTTAGTGGTGTTCCCTGTATTTCCTGAATTTGAATCTTGGCCTGTCTTGCTAGGTTGGGGAAGTTCTCCTGGATAATATCCTGAAGAGTGTTTTCCAACTTGGTTCCATTCTCCCCATCACTTTCAGGTGCACCAATCAATCATAGGTTTGGTCTTTTCACATAGTCCCATATTTCTTGGAGGCCTTGTTGTTCCTTTTCATTCTTTTTTCCTCCAATCTTGTCTTCATTCCTTTTTTCAGTAAGTTGATCTTCAATTACTGTTATCCTTTCTTCTGCTTGATCGATCTGGCTATTGATACTTCTGTATGCTTCATGAAGTTCTCATGCTGTGTTTTTCACCTCCATCAGGTCATTTATGTTCTCTAAACTGGTTATTCTAGTTAGCAGTTCCTGTAACCTTTTATCAAGGTTCTTAGCTTCCTTGCATTGGGTTAGAACATGCTCCTTTAGCTCAGACAAGTCTGTTAGTATCCACCTTCTGAAGCCTACTTCTGTCAGTTCATCAAACTCATTATCTCTCCAGTTTTGTGCCCTTGCTGGAGAGGAGTTGTGATCATTTAAAGGAGAAGAGCCATTCTGGTTTTTGGAACTTTCAGCATTTATGCACTGGTTTTTCCTTCTTCATTGATTTATCTACCTTTGATACTTGAGGCTGATGACCTTTGTTGGGATTTTTGTGTGGGGGTCCTTTTGGTTGATGTTGATGTTACTGATTTCTGTTTGTTAATCTTTCTTATAACAGAGTCAGGCCCCCTTCTGTAGTTCTACTGCAGTTTGCTGGAGGTCCACTCCAGACCCTGTTTGCCTGGATATTACCAGTGAAGGCTGCAGAACAGCAAAGATTGCTGCTTTCTCCTTCCTTTGGAAGTTTTGTCCCAGAGGGGTACTGGCCTCATGCCAGCCAGAGCTCTCCTGTATGAGGTGTCTGTTGACCCCTGCTCAGAGGTCTCTCCCAGTCAGGAGGCATGGGGGTCAGCGACCCACTTGAGGAGGCAGTCTGTCCCTTAGCAGAGCTCATGTGCTGTGCTGGGAAAATTCTCCTTGTCAGGATTTGCTGCTCTCTTCAGAGCCAGAAGACAGGAATGTTTAAGTCCGCTGAAGCTGCACCCACAGTCGCCCCTTCCCCCAGGTGCTCTGTTCCAGGGAGATGGGAGTTTTATCTATAAGCCCCTGACTGGGGCTGCTGCCTTTCTTTCAGAGATGCCCTGCCCAGAGAGGAGGAATCTAGAGAGGACTTCTGACCATGGCCTCTTTGGCCTCCTTAGCACTGTCAGGGGAAAACTGCCTACTCAAGTCTCAGTAATGACAGATGTCCCTCCCCTGACCAAGCTTGATTGTCCGAGGTCTACTTCAGACTGCAGTGCTAGCATCGAGAATTTCAAGCCAGTGGTTCATGACTTGCTGCGCTCTGTGGGAGTGGGACCCGCTGAGTGAGACCACTTGGTTCCCTTGCTTCAGCCCCCTTTCCAGGGGAGCGAACGGTTCTGTCTCCCTGGGGTTCCAGGCACCACTCAGTTGGAAAGGCAGAAACTACCCGACTTCTGCGCTGGTCTCACTGGGAGCTGCAGACTGGAGCTGTTCCTATTCAGCCACCTTGCCAGCTTCTAAAAATGGCATTTCTTAATTTTACTGTATTTCCATGGAATAAAAGTAATTCTTACACACACTGAAGTTAAAAAAAAATAGCATTTAAAATTTCTGCTCGGGAAAGTAGTATAATTTTTAACACAAGTCAGTTTGTCTCTGTGTTATAATGTAATGAATTCTTATATGCATATGAAGAGGAAAATGACAATTTTCTATTTATGGTTTTGGTTCAGCCTTGAAGATACCTTGATGAAGACCTGGACTATTGAATGGAGCAGAAATTCACCTCCCTCACTGACTATTACAGTTGCATTTTTATGGAGTTCTTCTTCTTCTAGTATTCCTAAGACTGCTGCTGACTTTATAAAAATTAAGTTTGTGAATGTGACTACTTAATAGTGTATATGAGACTTTCAAGGGAATTAAATAAGTAAATAAATAAGAATATTACTGATTTGAGTTTGCTTTAATTACTTGTCCTTAATTCTATTAATTTCTAAATGAGCTTCCTAATTTTTTGTAGAGTTTCCTAGGCGTATTATAATGTGTTTTATTTGACAGTGTTTCAATTTTCATGTAGAGTACTATATATGTTTTTTCTTATTTGGTTTGAATAATTTTTCTATTACTAAATAAAAATAAGTTTATTTTTACTTTAGTTTTTCTAAGAAAGGGAAAGTTAATGGTATTGAAGAGTCTGTAAATAATATATGGTTAATTTTATAAGGCATGACTCACAACAGTTCTTTAACTGCTTTTTGTTACTGTAATTCTGTTCACTGGAATGAAATGCATAGCCACACCTGGTAAGGGCACAAAGACTCAGTGGTTTAGTTTCTCATTCCTCAGGACATTATAACTAAAGCTGAAATAAATACATAAGCTATGTCTTTTCTATATAAATATAATGGTCATAAGGTAAGTTTGTATATTACTAAAAGTTACTTATGATACATATTCACATAAAGAAAAGTTGGCATTTAAAGTAGTACAACACTAAACTTAGGGTCCACTAACTTGCTAACTATCGTAGTTTTCTATGCAATTAATTTTTTAAAAATTTCAGTGGGTCCACCGTAAGTGTGTATATTTATGGGATATATGAGATATTTTGATAAAGGCACACAATGTGTAATTGTCACATCAGGGTAAATGAGGTATTCATCACCTCAAGCATATATCCTTTGTGTTATTTTTTAAGTGACAAAATTTTACATATTTATCATGTTCAATATGATATTTTGAAATATGTATACATTGTGGAATGACTAGATCAAGCTGATTGACATATGCATTACTTAACATACTTATTTTTTTCTGGTGGAGAACACTTAAAACCTACTCCTCTGAGTGATTTTTGAGAATACAATACCGGGATATGAACTGTAGTCACCAGTTGTGACTACAGTTGTGTGGTAGATCTCTTGAACTTTCTCCTCCTACCCAACTGAAATTTTGTACCCTTTGACCAAACATCCTCCCAACACCTTCCCCCAGCTACTGGTAACCACCACTCTACTCTCTGTTTCTATAAGTTCAACTTTTTCACATTCCACATATAAATGAAATAATATAGCATTTGTCTTTCTGTGCCTGGCTTATTTCACTTAACATAATGTCCTCTAGGATCGTTTGTGTTGTTGCAAAGCACAGGATTTCCCTCTTTTTAAAGGCTAAATAGTATTCCATTGTGTATATATACCACATTTTCTTCATTCATCCATCAGTGGACACTTAGGTTGATTCCATATGTGGGTTATTGTGAATAGTGCTGCAATAAACATGAGCATGCAGATGTCTCTTCAACATACTGATTGCCTTTACTTTGGAAATGTACACAGAAGTGGAATTGCTGAATCACATGGTAATTCTATTTTTAATTTTTAAGGCTGTCCTAATTTACATTCTCACCACTAATTTACGAGGGATCCCTTTTCCCCACAACCTCATCAATCCTCATCTTTCATCTTTTTGATTATAGCTATCTAATAGGTATAAGGTGAGGTGATATCTCATTGTGGTTTTAATTTACCTTTTCCTGATGAGTAGTGATGTTGAGCATTTTTTTTTTCATATACCTGTTGGTCATTTGTATGTTTTCTTTTGAGAAATATCTGTTGTTTTGCCCGTTTTTAATCAGGTTGTTTTCTCAATATTGGGTTGAGTTCTCTCTGTATTTTGGATATTAACCCATTATCAGTATGATGTAAACTCATTTGTTTACGTTCATCTTTGTTGTCTGTGTTTTATTTCCAAAAAATCATTGTCATGAAATTTCCCCCGTGCCTCGCCCTTTTTTATTATTATTATTATTATTATTATTATTATTATTATACTTTAAGTTCTGGGACACATGTGCAGAACATGCAGTTTTGTTACATAGGTATACATGTGCCATGGTGGTTTGCTGCACCTATCAACCTGTCATCCAGGTTTTAAGCCCTGCAGGTTTTAAGGTATTTGTCCAAATGCTCTCCGTCTCCTTGCACCCAACTCCCTGACAGGCCCCTGCATGTGACATTGCTCTCCTGTGTCCATGTGGTCTCATTGTTCAACTCCCACTTAGGAGTGAGAACATGCGGTGTTTGGTTTTCTGTTCCTGTGTTAGTTTGCTAATAATGTTGGTTTCCAGCTTCATCCATGTCCCTGCAAAGAACATGATCTCATTCTTTTTAATGGCTGCATAGTGTTCCATGGTGTATATGTGCCACATTTTCTTTATCCATTCTATCATTGATGGACATTTGGGTTGGTTCCAAGTCTTTGCTATTGTGAATAATGCCACAATAAAGATACGTGTGCATGTGTCTTTATAGTGGAATGATTTATAATCCTTTGGGTATATACCCAGTAATGAGATTGCTGGGTCAAATGGTATTTCTAGTTCTAGATCCTTGAGGAACTGCCACACTGTCTTCCACAATGGTTGAACTAACTTCCACTCCTGCCAACAGTGTAAAAGTGTTTCTATTTGTCCACATCCTCTCCAGCATCTGTTGTTTCCAGACATTTTAAAGATCACCATTCTAACTGGTGTGAGATGGTATCTCATTGTGGTTCTGATTTGCATTTCTCTAATGACCAATGATGACAAGCTTTTCTTCATATGATTGTTGGCTGCATATATAAATGTCTTCTTTTGAGAAGTGTCTGTTTCATATCCTTTGCCCACTTTTTGATGGGGTTGTTTTTTTCTTGTAAATTTGTTTAAGTCCTTTATAGATTCTGGATATTAGCAGTTTGTCAGATGGATAGATTGCAAAAATTTTCTCCCATTCTGTAGGTTGCCTGTTTACTCTGATGATAGTTTCTTTTGCTGTGCAGAAGCTGTTTAGTTTAATTAGATCCCACTTGTCAATTTTGGTTTTTGTTGCCATTGCTTTTGGTGTTTTAGACAAAGTCTTTGCCCATGCCTATGTCCTGAATAGTATTGCCCAGGTTTTCTTCTAGGATGTTTATGGTTTTAGGTCTTATTTTTAAGTTGTTAACCCATCTTGACTTAATTTTTGCATAAGGTGTAAGGAAGGGGTTCAGTTTCTGCTTTCTGTATATGGCTAGCCAGTTTTCTTAACACCATTTATTAAATAGGGAATCCTTTCCCCATTGCTTGTTTTTGGCAGGTTTGTCAAAGATCAGATGGTTGTAGAGGTGTGGTGTTATTTCTGAGGCCTCTGTTGTGTTCCATTGGTTTATGTATCTGTTTTGGTACCAGTACCATGCTGTTTTGATAACTGTGGCCTTGTAGCATAGTTTGAAGTCAGATAGCATGATCCCTCCTGCTTTGTTCTTTTTGCTTAGGATTGTCTTGTCTATGAGGCCTTTTTTTGGTTCCATATGAAGTTTAGAGTAGCTTTTTTCCAATTCCGTGAAGAAAGTCAATGTTAGCTTGATGGGGATAGCATTGCATCTATAAATTACTTTGGGCATTATGGCCATTTTCATGGTATCAATTCTTCCTGTCCATGAACCTGGAATGTTTTTCCATTTATTTGTGTCCTCTCTTATTTTCTTGAGCACTGGTTTGTAGTTCTTCTTGAAGAAGTCCTTCACATCTATTATAAGTTGTATTCCTAAGTATTTTACTCTCTTTGTAGCAAATGTGAATGGGAGTTCACTCATGATTTGGCTCTCTGTTTGTCTGTTATTGGTGTACAGAAATGCTTGTGATTTTTGCACATTGATTTTGTATCCTGAGACTTTGCTGAAGTTGCTTATCAGTTTAAGGAGATTTTGGACGGAGAAAGTGGGGTTTTCTAAATATACAATCATGTCGTCTGCAAACAGAGACAATCTGACTTCCTCATTTCCTATATGAATACACTTTATTTCTTCCTCTTGCCTTATTGCCCTGGCCAGAACTCCCAATACTCTGTTGAATAAGAGTGGTGAGAGAGGGCATCCTTGTTTTGTGTCGGTTTTCAAAGGGAATACTTCCAGTTTTTGCCCATTCAGTATGATATTGGCTGTGGGTTTGTCATAAATAGCTCTTATTATTGTGAGATACATTCCATTGATACCTAGCCTATTAAGAGTTTTTAGCATGAAGGGCTGTTGAATTTTGTCAAAGGCCATTTCTGCATCTATTGGGACATGTGGTTTTGTCATTGGTTCTGTTTTTATGATGGATTACGTTTATTGCTTTGCTATGTTGAACCAGCCTTGCATCCCAGGCATGGAGCCTACTTGATTGTGGTGGATAAACTTTTTGATGTGCTGTCGGATTCAGTTTGCCAGTATTTTATGGAGAATTTTTGCATCAATGTTCATCGGGGGTATTGGTCTGAAATTTTTTTGTTGTGTTTCTGCCAGATTTGGTATCTGGATGATTCTGGCCTCCTACAATGAGTTAGGGAGGATTCCCTCTTTTTCTATTGATTGGAATAGTTTCAGAAGGAATGGTACCATCTCCTCTTTGTACCTCTGGTAGAATTTGACTGTGAATCCATCTGGCCCTGGACTTCTTTTGGTTGGTAGGCTATTAATTACTGCCTCAACTTCAGAACTTGTTATTGGTCTAGTCAGGGATAATGATATGATCAAATTCACACATAACTATATTAATCTTAAATGTAAACGGGCTAAATTCCCCAATTAAAAGACACAGACTGGCAAATTGGATAAAGAGTCAAGACCCATCAGTGTGCTGTATTCAGAGACCCATCTCATGTGCAAAGATACACATAAGCTGAAAATAAAAAGATGGAGGAATATTTGCCAAGCAAGTGGAAAACAAAAAAAAAGTGGAAGTTGCAATCCTAGTCTCTGATAAAAGAGACTTTAAACCAATAGAGATCAAAATAGACAAAGAAAGGTGTTACATAATGGAAAGGGATCAGTGCACCAAGAAGAACTAACTGTGCTAAATTATATGCACCCAATACAGGAGCACCCAGATTCATAAAACAAGTTCTTAGAGACCTACAAATAGACCTAGACTCCCATACAATAATAGCAGGAGA